GGAGATAGGCCCCCGGGGGCGGCGCGGACCATGGCGCGGAGACCTGGGGCGCCCGCCGCCTACGGGGAGGAGTTCTCCTTCGTCAGCCCGCTGGTGAAATACCTGCTGTTCTTCTTCAACATGCTCTTCTGGGTGAGTCGCGGGGGTCGCGAGGGCACCTGAGCTGCAGGGCACCTTTGGAAGGTTGAGGAGGGGCAATCCGGGATGCCCCGGTGCCAGGCGAGTTTTATGGGCTAGCGACACTTTGCAGGAATTCCTCCTGGGGAGGGACCCGCAGTGGCCCCGGGCAGGAGGGGCCACCCGAGTGGGGTGTGCAAGCGACTCAGTAAGGGTGAGGGGGCTGCGGCAGGCCAAGTAAGTGTGTTGGGGGAGGGGCTGATTTTCCTTGGGGCAGAGCAGCCCTATGGTGCTAGCGTGTTCAGGATTGGGGACTTTCAGCCCTGGGGACCCGGGAGGCCCCACTGGAAAGGAGAGGAAGGGAGGAAAAACCCAAATCTCTTCTACCGCTTACCTTGAGGAGGGAGAATTAAGGGACTTCATCGCTGCCCACTCTGCAGGCCTCTGTTGCCCTCCTCTTGCAAAGGCTGAGGTGGAGCTGCGATGGCCTCCAGGTCTCCCGTCCTTCCCACCTCATTGCTGCCCCAAACTTTGCACTACCTCCCTCAGGACCAGACTCCTCCCCTGGAGCCTGACAGTCCTCGGTGTTTTTAAATAGGACCCAGTGTTGGCTGGAAGGCCAGAGGTTCTTTCAAAAATCTCCTGCTTGGAACTGGAAAAAGTGGGAAAAAAATACTGGCCTGGGGCTCCTGACACTTGAATTTCCACCCCTAGTCTAACATCACTGTTGGCTTGGCTGATCTTAGGTAGATATGTTTAAGGCTGCAGGCCTTCATTCCCTCCCTAAAAGCAACCTGGTATGATCAGCAAAGGCAGAAATACTCTCTGCCAGGGCCCAGAATTTAGCTGGACCACATCATAAAACGCTAGCTTGATCCTATTTCATAGCAAGAGTCTGTGGGCCCCTCTGAATTTGAGAACAGGGAAATCCTTCCCTGTAGTCCCACTTCTCTGCCAGCTCCTACCGTACCAGAGCTACCATTCTGGGAGCCCATCGTCCTTGCCCACCTCAGCTTTAGATCTACAAGTTCAGATTTGCAAGAGAGTGGAATTGTGAGTCCAAAATATCTTTCTTAGGAGAAGGAGCAGATCAGACATCTAAAGCAGCTGCTGGAAAGGTTTCACAGGGACCGTGGTGTGAAGTGCACAAAGCACATAAGTGATAGCCTGTTGGGACAAATGAGAGAGATCCCAGAGGGTGGTGATGACAGCTCACTCCCAGCCATTGTACTCTTGGGAAAATTAAAGTTTGGGCTTCTATCAAATTCTCAGTTTTAGAACTGGAAAAAAAATATAGTAGGCCTCTTGTTCAGCATCCACATCTTGTATATGAGGAAGCTGAATCACAGTGATGTTAAAATGTTTTGTCCAAGGTCCACCAGCTGGTTAGTAGGCTTGTTCTGGTGATTTTTCTACTGAGCCACGGTGCCTCTAGGGGAAGTCCTTGACCCAGATGGCTGCTTCTATACATGGGGTAGTGTTGCTATTAATGGTTAAACAGTCAACCCCAGTTCCCATGGTCTAGGTTCTACTTCCGTTGGAGGTTAGGGAAAAACAGAAGAAAACCCCTTACCGCCCCATTGCCAGGGATGGGGAATGTGCTTAGGGGAACTCCACACCTAGGGGCAAATGCCAGTGGAGGCTCCTTCAAGCTCATTGAATGTGTCCGGCCAGAATATGCTGGTACCAGTATGAATTATCATCCCAAGGACCTCAGGTTGTCATTCCAGCTTCTCTCAGCACAGGTTCTACTTCTTTTGGAGCATTTAGTGCCTTCTTTTTGTTGGTGGTGTTTTTGTTTTTTTGAGAGATGATCTCCCTGTGTAGTTCCAGCTGGTCTTGAACTCACATGTAGCCCAGGCTGGCCTCAAACTCATGGCGATCCTCCTGCCTCAGCCTCCCAAGTTCTGGGATTACAAGTGTGTACCACCATGCCTGGCTTGACACTTCACTCTTATCTGTGCTCCTCAGCAACAGCACCTGGTTGTCTGTTACCCTGTGTTCGTACTTCTATTACCAGACTTCCCTGCCCTGTCCCACACCCCTTTTATCAGACAAGTGACTGGGATGTCACAGGGAGAGTTTGGCTCCAAAGACACATAGACCCTTGGTAAAAGTGCTTCATTCAAAGTCAGAGAGGACTGTCACCAGCCCAAATTAGAGTAAAGCCCCTTCTTGGCCTCAGTATAGACTCAAAAAGTCAGAGACTCTAGAAATAGCACATTAAAGGACAAGAGGCCCAGCTTCTTTCTGGCACCAGTTTACTGTGTGACCCTAAGCCAATGTATCTGTCTCTCTGTCTTTCTCCTCTAAAGGAGAAAATTTATCTGCCTCTGTGAACTATATAAAGATGAATGAATCACTTTGGGGACTTTTTTTTTCCATTAAGATCTGGGGCTGGATCTAAGAATCAATCTCTCCGTGTCCTGGTATCCCTGGGACATTGCCCTGCCTAGGAGACAGTAAAGTGCAGGGGTTCCTCAGTGTCACCTCTTCCCTGGGCACAGAGCCACAGAGTGACATTGCACAGCCATGCAGGAGAGGAAGGACTGCTTCCTGGGATTGGGGGCATCATTCTTTCCATCCCACCTCAGGGACTGGTTATATGCTTTCCTCTTTGCAAGCTTCCGCCATCCTAATCAAATCCCACCCTTGTCTGGGACTGCCAGCCCTCACCTTTGCAGGCAGAGCACATGTCTGCCAGCTGCCAGGGTGTTGTGTGGGGGTGGTGTTTGTGTTTATGCCTGGGACACATTAAGAAGGTGGCCAGAATTGTCTGGGTTCACACTCAGTGGTGACAGTGGCTGCCTCCACTGCTGCTCTAAGAGCCCTGACTCTTAAGGCATTTAGAGGCTGACTCAGAAAGCTGCTGTCTCCTTTCAAGCCAGGACCAATTCCTCTCATTTGTGTTTCAAATCTCACTTCCCTTTTGGCCTGGGAGTTCGGATTTTTTTCTCCAGAATCATGTCGATGCGTAACTAATTGTTAGGTTTCTGTGGCCTAGAATAGTTGCTCCAAGATCCTAGAAGTTGTATTTGAGCCTTTGAGAGGTAACTGTCTTTCCTCACTTCCCTGTGTTGGACGTCTCCCTTGCAGAGTTAAGACACTGGGATGGTGTGTTCTTTATTACCCTTGAGTATATGTTGTCAGGAATATTATCAGTGCTGCCCAGCTTCTCCCTTACTGGTCCTTTTCCTACTTGGGACAGCAGTTGGAGGGGCTTTTGAGTCAAGCAGAGGCCAAAAGCTCTGACTTTCAGCTCCTGTGTCTCCTCAGCCCAGTCATCTTTGGTGGCCATGCCTCTGGGTTCCCGTGGCACCTTCTGTGTACTCCAATTATCACACCTCTTACCTGCACTGCACTTATGTATTTCTATATCTGTTTTTCCTTCTAGACTTCAGGCTCCTGAGGGTAGGCACTGCCTTATTCACTTCTGTTCTCCCACAGCCCACTTGTGTTTGGGAGAAAGTGGGTGTTTCCTGAACATTTATTGAATGGCGAGTGAGAAAGCAAAACTTACTGGGCAGGGGCATAATATTTCTTCTCTCCTCTTTCCATCGTGGACACTAGTCCGTCAGGATGCAGCCCAGCCTTAGGTGCTGGAGCATTCTTGGCAGTGAGGCACCTACTGTGTTATCCTCTGCCATGAGTCCTGTGGCCTGGCACCCTCCCTCAAACCAGATCAGAAAAATGCCAGCCCTCCCCTCTCTTGTCTCCCTTAGGGTGTGATTACTGTCTGCAGCATTTGGGTTTTTTGTTTTTGTTTTTACTTCCCCAGCTACATATGGACCCCCATCCAGGTCCTTCTAGGCCAGTCTGCTCTTCTGTCAGAACCATTGTATATGGGAGCCCAAGGGAACTCAGAGTCTTCCCCAGACCACCTGCAGCACCATCTCTCCTGGCTCAGAAATCATGAGAAAGTGACCAGGCATCAAACCTAGCAAAAATCCTCAAGTAGCAGTTTTCTGCCATCCAACTCCCCTCCCATTTCCCAAAACCTTAGGAGCTCACCTCCCTCTTTTTCATTACTTTCCCCATAGGTTACGCAGACTTCAATAAGTGAAGTATTCTTTTATTAAAAACAAGAAGAAAAATCTAAAAAACTGAAAATAAAGACAAGAGCCACACCCTTTGCTGTGCAGGTCATAGGCGTGTCTCTCAACCCCCCTAGCAGCGACCCCAGCAGGAGCCTTGTACCAAGTAGATAAATGCAGCATTCAAGCACCATTTAAAAAATAAATAAAAGAAATCACAGGGCACCTCTCCAAGTCTCGGTAGCAGGCTGTTGTTTGGCCAGTCATTGTAGGACCATGAGTCTGAATGTCTATATTACTTGAACCTTTGACTTTCCTGCCTTATTCACAACCTTGGAAAAAAACAAAACCAGCCCTAGCCCAAGGAAGATGCTGAAGGATCAGCTCCAGACACTGGCAAGGAGGAAGAAAGCTAAGAGCCAGTGTCATGTGGACAGTTGTCGCCACAGAAACCGAGCACTGGGGTGGGGACACAGGGTACCAGCGCGTATAGGTCCTGGGCAGTGAGAGGGAGGGCCCTACTATCAGTCTAGCAGGCTGTGATTTCTTTGACACCCCCACATTAAGGGCAGAAAGTTCTACCACTTTCCCACTTCCCTCTGAGTGGGATAGTTGTTGTTTGGGGATTTTGTTTGTGGTGCTAGGGACAGAACTCAGGGCCTCAGGGATGCTAGCTAGGTACATGCTCTTCGGCTGAGCTACATACCCAGCCCTTGGGAATTACTGTCCCCTCAGCTGTCCTCATTGCCTTCAGAAGAAGGAAAAAAACTAAGGAAAGGTGGACTGAGACATTCCACCTGCTTTCTGCAGACTTGGCTTTGGAACATGGGGACCGACAAGGCCAGTGCTTTCTCTTGGAGACTGTTCGGGCTAACAGGCCCTGTTTAGCCATTCTGTATCTCCCCGCTCAAGGTGCCATTCCAGGGACCTCCCTCGGAGCCAGCTCTGCCGCTACTCTGTCACCTCCCCACACTATCTCCC